CATTTTCTATCGAGTTTAGTCCTGACTTAACTTTTGTTTCAAAACTCGTCGCTTTGACACTTTTTCAGTCACTCAAATAAAAACATTCTAGATAGCGATCGTTATCGTACCGTAGATCGTACCTGCGATAATTTATAAGCTTCAAAATTCACATTCATAAAATTTTACAATGAGCAAAATTATTTTAGGCTATTGGTACTTCCGTGGCCTAGGTGAACCGATTAGATACTTGCTTCATTATAAAAATGTAAAATTCGTAGACAAAAGGTATCAGTTTGACGGTACTTGGCAGAAAGAAAAATTTTCCTTAGGTTTGGATTTCCCAAACTTACCTTACTATTTTGAGGATAATCTAAAACTGACGCAGAGCTTAACCATATTGCGGTACTTGGCAAAAAAACACAACTTAGAAGGAAAAACCGAGGAAGAACAGTTGCGTGCTTCTTTAGTTGAACAACAAATAACTGACTTTGCGACTGTATTTTTCAGAGATGTCGTTTACGCTAAATCTAATGATTCGCCAAAAGAATTTTTGAAAAATGCTCCAGGATTATTAAAACCCTTCTCGGAATTCTTAGGGGAAAGGAATTTCTTCGCCGGTGATGAAATAACTTATGTAGATTTCTTGGTTTATGATAATTTTGATTTTCCCTCTTTGTTTTCTAAGACAATTTTGGATGCTTTTCCTAACCTTAAAGCTTTCCAGGATAGAATTAGGAATTTGCCGGAACTTCAAGAATATCTAAACTCATCAGCATATATAAAATGGCCTATTTGTGGCCCACCAGATGCTTGTACTTGGGGTGGTAGTGGTGAGATGCCAAACTAATATGACAAAATCTTTCTGTGATAAATCTGATTATTGATATCAAGAGCATTTTCAAGAATGTCGAAATGGTGTTTTTCTGTGATGTTTCCTTATCAATTGATTGCACCAACTAGGACTGCCAAGGTTGCAAGGAGATTTTAAATTTGTTAAGCTTTTAAAATAAGAAAAAATGTTGAGTATTGCCCAGGGGGAGTTTTCAGTACTGTGATCTCTTTCAGAATAAACACGAAACCCCTGTGGCAGAATTTTATCGTGCTTTCTACAACAGACCTCTCTAGCATTA